TATCCAAATGGATGCGGGTTCGACCGTACATAAACAGATATCTGGTTTTGGCCACTATACCCTTGGCGCCATTACTCAATGTTAGGATTTTCTCCAAAACTTCTGGTTCATCCACTTCGATTTTATTATATTTCGATAATTTCGGACCAGCCACATCCGGGCGATCATAGTAAACTAATTGGGATTTGGCTGGAGGTTGTAAATAACGCAGCTTAAGGCGACCACTTTGGGAATTAAAGAAGACATCACGATGAACAATAGTTTCACCATCGGATTCGGTTAATTTTCGGGCAATTTCAACACGACGCGTAAATTCTTCATCAGAACCAACGCGTGCTTTTATTTCAATGTTACGCTCATCAGCTGGTTGTTCCGCGCTGGCCATTTTTGTTCCCAGAGCTTTCCGAAGTGACTGTCAACAATAAAATCATAACGCAATACAAAAACACTAAAAAATGCCGGTAAATGGAGATGGACAAAATCGAACTAGACAAAGAATAGATTACGGATTTGTTCTCAGATATGAATTGAAGACATAGGATGTGTTCCCGTATCACAAGAGGTTATACAAGGCAGGGATTTTTAATATAAATTTTTTTCAAGGTAACTACTAGGGATGGATTTTTTAAATAATTATAACCTTCACCACACTGTGGTATAGGGTATTATGTCTTTGTGCATATGTTTGTAACAGGCAAAAGGAAACGAGATAGACACATACTTCCTTTTGATAATATGCATAGAATCACTTTCTGAGCCGATTTATGCATGTCCGTCCATCCGCATTTATGATCCGAATTGGATGAAATTTGGCATAGGTCACTTATTTGGCCCATAGACGAACCCTATTGAAATTGGGAAAAATCGGTTCAGATATAGATAGAGCTCCCATATATATTTTCGTCCGATTTAGTGTAAATGATGTACCAAAGACCCAATATATCTTTCTATTTGCACGAAATTTTGCATAACGTACTGAACTGAGTCTAGAATTATGTGTGAACAATTTCTTGAAAATCGGTTCAGATATAGATATAGCTCCCATATATATTTTCGTCCGATTTAATGTAAATGATATACCAAAGTCCCTAGATATCTTCCGAAATTTGGCACAGCGTACTGAATTAAGCCTTGAATGATGTGTGTTAAGCTTTGTGAAAATCGGTTCAGATTTAGATATAGCTCCCATATATATCTTCGTCCGATTTAAGGTAAATGGTGTACCAAAGTCCCTATTTATCCTTCGATTTGTACGAAATTTGGCACAGCGTACTGAATTAAGTCTAGAATGACGTGTGCCAAGTTTCGTGAAAATTGGTTCAGATTTAGTTATAGCTCCATACATAGTTTCGCCCGATTTTAGGTAAATAGTCCACTAAAGTCCCTGGAAATCTTTCGATATCCACGAAATTTGTCATAGCGTACTGAATCAACTCTAGAATGATGTGTATTAAGTTTCGTGAAAATCGATCCAGATATAGTTATAGCTCCCTTATATATTTTCGTCCGATTTTATGTAAATGGTGCACCAAAGTTCCTATATATCTTTCGATTTGGACGAAATTTGGCATAGCGTACTGAATTAAGCCTAGAATGATGTATGCTAAGTTTCGTGAAAATCGGTTCAGATTTAGATATAGCTTCCATATATATTTTCGACCGATTTAATGTAAATGGTGTACCAAAGTCCCTATATTTCTTTCGAAATTTGGCATAGGGTACATGATTGAGTCTAGAATGATGTGCAGATGCAGTCTAACTTCCATCCCGATTTTATGTAAATGGTGCACCAAGGGGCCTATGTTTATTCGATTTACATGAAATTTGGCAGAGGTGAGCTTAGAGTGATTTAGATTAAAGCTGCAGAAATCGGCTTAGATTTACATATATCACCCATGTATATTTTCGTCTGATTTTATGTAATTGGTGCACCGAGGAGCCTAAAATTATGGACAGCGCAATGTGCTGCAGCATACCAAATGTTATGTGCCACTGTTGCTCAATTAGGTCCACATTCACATACAGCTCCACATACATTTTTTGTATCGATTTCATGCAAATGATACACCAAAGAATCCGATTGACATGCAATTTTTCATAGATTTCAGAATGGTATGTGTTTCTTAATCGGTTCATAAATCTATGTTGATCACACATTTAGTTCCGCCCGATTTCATTTCAATGGTCCTCTAAAGATTATATATTAGTATCTCTTGTAGGTATCCAAAGTGGTGAAGGGTATCATATAGTCGGCCCCGCCCGACTTTTAAAGGCGTGGATTTTTTTAAAGGCGTGGATTTTTTATATATATTTTTTTTCAAATATATAACCTTCGAATTAATAATATTTAAATGTGAATTAACATCATTTAATTTTTAATCGATTTGATAATTTAATAGATCCCGTTCTCTATCACCCCCTTCCCACTCAATTTGGCATTTTGTATCCTTTGTATTTCCTGTTTAGTACTGCAGGCACGTAGAAGTTACAATTTTCAGACATACTTAGAGTCTATTACTTGTATTTGTTGCTGTTGCTGCAGATGTAGTTATTGTTGTTGTTCTTGCTATTGTACTTAATGCACATCCATCCATTTATCTGAATGTCTCATGGAATGGTATGGTATGGAATATGGAGTGGAATGTCGTCTGGCCTCTTAATTGGATAAAATTTTGTTGAATACTTTCAAATACTTGTTGTTGTTGTTGCTGTTGTGTGTTGCATGTTAGGATGATATTATACACACACACACATATACTCGCTCACATTCACATACATCAAAGGATCTTCAGTTTTCCTTAGTCACATTTAGGCAAACTGTCCGCCCTTAAGGTTATGTTAAGTTGTGTGTGTTGGGGAGGGTTGGGGGACTCTTAAGGAAATGTAAATAATTTATCTATTTATCCCTCATGGCTGTCTAAGAAAGTCATTACATCCTGTGGCGCTTAAGTCCATATGACTTGCATTAGTTTGTTTCCAGTTTTTTTGGGACGATACATGCCTTCGTTTTAAGGTAGAAAAATAGGGGAAGTGGCAATATATTTGAAAATATATCCGCAATTAATTTAAGCTGTGACAGTTTTTCCTTAAATTTAATTAAACAAGGCGGTCGAAATTGGAAATTGTTTTTAGGGGGAGCGCGCGGTAATTAAGATTTATTACCTTGCCCAAAAACACCTTGAAACTTTTTTTAGATCCGAGACTTAAAATATTCTTGAAAAAGTTTGCTTTTAAAAATCCACGCCTAAAAAAAATATTTAAAAAATCCACGCGTTGAAAAAAAATATTTAAAAAATCCACGCGTTGAAAAAAAAATATTTAAAAAATTCACGCGTTGAAAAAAAAATATTTAAAAAATTCACGCGTTGAAAAAAATATTTAAAAAATCCACGCCTTGAAAAAAATATTTAAAAAATCCGCGCGTTGAAAAAAAATTATTTAAAAAATCCACGCCTTGAAAAAAAATATTTAAAAAATCCACGCCTTGAAAAAAAATATTTAAAAAATCCACGCCTTGAAAAAAAATATTTAAAAAATCCACGCCTTGAAAAAAAAAATTAAAAAATCCACGCCTTGAAAAAAAAATTATTTAAAAAATCCACGCCTTGAAAAAAATATTTAAAAAATCCACGCCTTGAAAAAAATATTTAAAAAATCCACGCCTCGAAAAAAAATATTTAAAAAAACCACCCCTTGAAAAAAACATATTTAAAAAATCCACGCCTTGAAAAAAAAATATTTAAAAAATCCACGCCTTGAAAAAAACATATTTAAAAAATCCACGCCTTGAAAAAAAATATTTAAAAAATCCACGCCTAAAAAAATTTTTTATACATCTACGCCTTGGAAAAAATATTTAAAAAATCCACGCCTAAAAAATTTTTTATACATCTACGCCTTGCTGAATTTTAAAACATCCACGCCATGCGTTGAAAAAATGAAAAAATTTAAAAAATCCGAGTTGTGGATACCTTGAAAGAATTATTTAAAAAAATCCACGTCTTATCTAATTACCGCAATAAATATTATTTATAAGAATCCAAGCATGCAGGTCTGTGGGGTTTGCCCCCACTCCCGTTCACAGTCTTATCAATTTATTCATAATTGTTATTAACATTTTCTTGTATCCACATGAGGTGCCCATTCATGCTAATTTCTATCAATGCAACTGTCAGCAGCTTCGGTGTAAACCATAAATTTTTCACTCTTTAAACCACTTACAACGAGCAACAATCAGCAACAACAACAACAATAACAACAATAAAGTAATGTCAAAGAACACAACATCAACAAACGATTTAAATTGTAAATGTGTCATTTTGCATAAACCGTTCCAGCGAACGAACATTATGCCCCGGACCGCTAACCATTAAATTTAAGGTGCGTATTTCGGTTGGCAGGCACACTCATACACATAGTCCTCCCTCCATTCATGTTTTCTATGTCATTGACACAAGGCATGTTGTGGGTGTTATGATTAAAAAAAAACGTTTCCGAACTTTTGGGTGTCCCAGGTATCCATCCGTTCATTGGGAAGTTCTTTGTCCGTTTCTTAATTGTGCGCGGATTATGAATTTCAACAGAAGTTATATATTAATATTCAATTTTGGATGTCGATGTCAAATGTTATGCAAAATTATCTTGTTTTGTGTGATTTTTTATGCAGTCATGATTCATGGGGCAATGACTACACCTGAGAATTTTAAGCCTGACAATAAAAAAGAAATCATTTAAACTGCAGACATCAAATTTTAAATAAAAAATGTAGAATTACAAAAAGCTTTAATTCTCCCCGACGGGGAATTGAACCCCGGTCTCCCGCGTGACAGGCGGGGATACTAACCACTATACTATCGAGGATGTTGAAAACTGCCTTGTTAAGGGCATTTATATTGACCACACTGTGTCAGATTGTCCCACTCTCATTTATGGTTAAGAACAACAGAGTTTACACCATTTTCACCACACACACAGGGTTGCCTACTCTACCTTATGGAACAATTCACTTATTACCACAAAACGCAATGTTGACAACTATGGCGTTTTGAAAATCGATAAAATATTATCAAGCTAATTTAATAATGTTGGTGCTCATATGAGGTTTGATCGGAATAAAAACGACATATATAAAAGATCTACACTTTAAATAAACCATGGAAAAAATATTCTCTAAAACCAGTAAGGAAAGTAGTAAAGTCGGACGGGGCCGACTATATGATACCCTTCACCACTTTGGGTATATTCAACATATGAATCCTAACAGACGTCGTAATTTTAAAGTACCAGTAAAATTAAATTGGATCCATAAACAATGTCATTCTGCAACCTATACTAAATTTTTTATTTGGTCAGAGAGACCTGCCAGAGAATAATTTATATTAACTA